ATGGGAGGAACGGGGGATGGAAGCGGCGGGAAATTCAAAAATTTAAAAAAGTGACATTTACTCAATACACTAATATCTCATAGTAAAGCATTACTGTATCAAACCATTTCACATACATTTGTCCCTACTGCTTTGTCCTGTGCCCTGCCTTCATTTTTACTGTTCTTTCTGCCTGGAAACTGAGAAATGTCCATGGCGTCCAAAAAGCATACCTTTAGTCAAAAGCGGTTTTAGACCAGTTAGAGAACAGCGATAGTAAATTAGAACCACTTGCAGAATTGAGTGATAATGATTCGTGGGGAATCAGACACTGAAAAAGATTTTGCGACTGAGCTGAGTGATGTGCGGACTTGGCACTAAATTTCAGTGTTTTTGGTTTGATTATATTATTGAATTAAATTTATTAGTATTATATTATTATTTTTTATGATTATTTATTATATTATAATTTATGATTTCGTGTTTCAAATTTTATCCTACCCGGGATATTTACTAGACAGATTTCAGTGAGTTATTCCTAAAAATTACAGGCCTACAATAAAAAAACAACATATATCAAACATATGCAAAAAAATTTACTGCTTTGAGCACAGAAAAACTGACATAATCAGACCGCTAGGGAGGTTAAAACCACTTTAATGCAAACTTTAAAACCAACTGATACCATGATAACATGTGACCCTTAACTCCAGCCTATCAGAAAAATAAACTAGCAAAAAAGGTCTCCATGCAGAAGAAGCTAATAAATAATGACCTCTCCTACTGTCCTCATCCCTAAACATCATTCCATTGAAGAGAAATTGCCTTCCAAAGTCTTCTTCTGAAACAAAAAATTATGGGAGTGTAGATCTCCTGGTTCCTATCTGTGCTCAACCAGAGAAGCGACACTGCAACAAGTTTACGTTTCAAAAGAAAATGCTCCTGCTAAGTGATCTCATTATGACAATATCACAGAGCCAAAAATCCACTGATTGGCCTCTTACAATATGGCCAGAATACCCTGACAAGCACACCAATTCAGTTAGAAAAAGAATATTTACATTGAGTGTATTCTTAACCCCTTTCCTGACTGCCGTCTGTATAAGAATACAGTTTAAAAGTTCTATTGCCGGACAAGCAGAGGGCACCTGTGTCAGCCATTAGATCTGTTCCAGTGCTATAGTGAAAGCGATCATGGCAGTTACAGTGAACAGGAACCAATCAACATATTTCCAAGCCACATGTTTGCTATTACTTCATATTGACCACGTGACATTGTGTACACCAAGCTGGCTGCGGCTGGCTGAGCTACTGTACCATTGTGCCTCTCACCGAGAGGGGAACTTTGATATACACAGTTGGCAGACTCCAACTAATAAAGTAAAGCATACACACAAAATTAATAAATGTAAAATGTAAAAAAACATATACAGTATATTGTTATATGACTGATTATTATTATTATTATTGTTACATAATAGAAATAGCTGTATCTATTGCATCTAAATCACTTACTATTAAGTCCAGTAATGTGTGATGTCATCTACATGGAAGATTACATAAACAACTTTCACCAGAAAAATACTAAAGGAAGACTACATCCTACAGTGAAATTTCCCATATTCAATATATTTAAAAAAAAAATTTTATATATATATATATATATATATATATATATATATATACTGTATGTTGAAATGCGTTGTTATTACAAAATATATGAAAAATATTTTTAAAAATACATTTCAGATATGCTGTATGTCTTTAAAAATACAAATCTACATTTTTGGAATGCATTTACAAATATATGTAAAAATATATATTGAAATTACTTTTTTATATGTTAAAAAAAAATCTGAAGAATATATTTAAAAAATATATAAAAAATATATATTTTTGAAAATATATATTTTTTAAATATATTTGTAAATACATTCCAAAAATGTTGTAATAAAAACGCATTTCAACATAAAGTATATATACATATATATATATATATATATATATATATATATTTTTTTTTTTTTTAATATATTGAATATGGCCAAAATTGTAGCATTTCAAATATATGTCAATATATTTGGGAAGAATATTTTTAAAATATATTTCATAAAAAGGTTATCCTGATGATATCTTCATTGTGTAGCCAATCACAGTGCCACATGGTGGTCACTGCCCACTTAAAGGGGAACTTTGCCCATAATACAAAAAAAATGTTTTTTTGGCAAGAAACATACATTCCACGTTATGTTACCAAAATTAGTGTGTGCTGTAAATTGCCTCTAGCATTGTTTCTGTTTGTTTTGGAGGCTGTGTTGGAATGGCAGTGACAGTGTGAGTGATCTGCCTCCCAGTCTCCTGACTCCCATAATAAGAGGCTGGCCCCCCTCACAGTGGGTGCAGACAATCTCCAGACTCCGGTCTCCTCACAGTGACGGAACTCCAGGGCCCAGTCGCATGTGCGACTTCTGTGAACCTGGTAGTTTTGCCACTGTACTAACCTGGTAAACCAGGTATTTTTTTGGATGGTATCAATATAGCATAGGAAGCCCATATATATACCCATATGGAAGAAAAATATATTTTAAATATATTTTAAAAATAATCTTCCCAAATATATTGCCATATATTAGAAATGTTACAATTTTGGCCATATTCAATATATTTCAAAATATATTTCAATGAATAAATATATATATCGTGGCAGTGCGGTACACTGCCACAGTAAAAATCACAGTGATAACCCAGAATTCTCAACTATACAGGCTGAGGGGCTCCAGGCAGTTCTCTTAATGCAGAGGAAACTGGTTTATCAGTTTCCTCTTTGGTTTGTAAAGCCTGTTTTGGGACCTGTGACCTGGAGATTTCTAAGAGATTTGGGAGGGATGAAATCTCTAATCCTGGGTCCATGTTTTGAGAGCAGCCAGCACACTGATTGCACAGATGTGTGCAGGCCTTTTTGTAGAGGTCCAAACCATGATTCTGGGCTCCACCCCGGCAGACAGGAGGTCACTGATTTGGAGTCAGAGTAGCTGTGTGCTAGTGGCTAGCTGTGTGCGAAACAATCATTTTGGAAAGAGTCTGCAGGAGACAGATGTAAATCTGTGTACAACCCAGGAGGCTGAATATTTGTTGCCTTTGTTTGATGGTGGATGCCCCTGTGTGGGAAGCATTTTGGGGAACTTTTGTTTAAATAAAATTGGGCTAAAAGGCCTGTAAAACAAGAAGAAGCGAGTTGCTGTGTGCTTTAAAAAAGCTCTACCATTTTGATGCGAGTTCCCACTATATATATATACTGTTGAAATGCGGTTTTATTACAAAACATTTTAAAAATACATTTCAAATATACTGTATGTCTTTAAAAAATACAAATCTACATTTTTGGAATGCATTTACAAATATATATAAAAATATATGTTACAATGACTTTTATTTTTGTATATGTTAAAAAAATCTGAAGAATATATTTTAAACAAATATTTTTTTAAATATCTTTTTTTTTTTAAATCTATTCTTCAGATTTTTTTTAACATAAAAAAGTCATTTTAACATATATTTGTAAATGTATTCCAAAAATGTAGATTTGTATTGTTAAAGACATACAGTATATTTGACATGTATTTTTAAAAATATTTTTCATTTATTTTGTAATAAAAACGCATTTCAATATGCAGTGTGTGTATGTATATGTATATATATATATATATATATTGAATATGGCCAAAATTGTAGCATTTCAAATATATGGCAATATATTTGGGAAGAATATTTTTAAAATATATTTCAAATATATTTTTCTTCCATGTGGGTAGGTCCCATGCTTTGTTGCTATGATAACCTGTTCAACCTTCAGCAAGAATTGAGAGCTTAGGGATCAGGGGCGGACTAACCATTTGGAAACTTGGGCACTGCCCGAGGGGCCCGGGGTCAGTAGCGGGCCCCATGAGATGCCCCTGGTACCTTTTTCATAGGCTTTTTTGAGTTTGGGCAAGGTCACAGGGGCCCCATGATCCCCTATTGCCCGGGGGCCCCATGAGTTGTCAGTCCGCCCCTGCTAGGGATTGTTGTGAATCTCCTAGACTCCTACCTCCAGTATGGTAAAGAATATGAGATTCATTCATTCATTCACTGGGACAAGGAGTGCTAAGTTTACATACATCTCCCACACACACATTTCTTAAACTCTCCTCTACAGAGAAGTTGAGGATTGTGGGATGAGCGGAGGATTGTGGGATAATAGTTCAGAAGGATGGATTTGCAGAAGGACCAATACTGTTGGGAACTCCAAGTTCCAGCCAGCTGGAAGAGGAAGTTGAATGCTGGGAGAGGATATATAAATCAGACCCTGAGAGAAGGGCTTCCTCTTGGGACTAGGGGCTAAAGCTGAGAGGAGAGACCTGGCTGCTGTGAATAGTCTAGTAGGCCGTGAGGTCTGGACGGTGTGGAGGATCTTTGGCGGTTGAGCCACAGACCACCTGCAAGCAGATCATCCATCCCCAGCTTCCTGTTGGAAGAGTGACTAACTGGAGTTGTGCACATTGTCACTGGGTGCTAGGTCAGGTGCCTCACACTGGTTGCATCCTGGTTCTCTTGAGTCGTGGTGTTACCAGGATTGGTGAGCGGGCAGAAGCCCACACTGTGTACACTACTCACTGAGGGACACTGCATGCAAATACCTTTTACCATATGTCTTCTTATAAATCAGAAGGCTTCACCAGGAATCATTTATTTATATTATCCGCTATCGCTGGTGTCCATTGCACAGAAATCTCTTTGGGCCCTTGTTGTGCTAGCTGAAGATTCAAGACCCCTGTCCATCAAGACTCCTTTTGCTACCTCTCAAGCCAAGGACTCTGTGCCTCACATTTGTGTGTATATTAAAGGGGGATGCGATCTAGAATCTATCTATGCGATCTAGAATCTGTTCATAGAATAGTTAACGTTTAGCACTTACAAAGTGTGTTGTCATTGCTGGACCTGTGACATCAGGATTTTAAGGGAGCAGGCTGATACTCAGAAGCAGTGGCAGCCTGACCATTTGGAAACTCGGGCACTGCCCGAGGGCCCGGGGTCAGTAGGGGGCCCCATGAGATGCCCCTGGTACCTTTTTCATAGGCTTTTTTGAGTTTGGGCAAGGGCACAGGGGCCCCATGATCCCCTATTGCCCGGGGGCCCCATGAGTTTTCAGTCCGCCCCTGCTCAGAAGCCTTTCTTTTCACTTTCATACCTGGGGTTAAAGGCTACCTCTGAAAATATTTGAAGCACTGTCTGATTTATTGTGTTCACTGTCGCAAGTATATTTGTGTTTTACCTTGAGAATAGAAAATAGTTGATTACCTTGAGAAGTATTTGCATTAAAGTGTTACTAAACCCCGGACCCTGTATTCACTATATCTGGTCTCCCACAGTACACACAACATGGAAGTTCAATTATTTTAGCAAAAATATAAACTGCTAAATACCTTTTCTCATCAGAAGTTAGTGCAGTCTTGTGACTTCTATCAGTGTCCAGCCCAGAGGCTTGTAGGCTAAAGCTTGAAGGAGGAGTTTTCTTTCTTCTTTAGGAGGATGCAAAACCTCTGACCTCTGTCTGACCAGTGCTGATTGACCACATGCACTCTCCCAAGAAAAAAAAAACTCTCTAGCAATACACACCAAACTGAGCATGTGCAAATTCCTACGGTTCAGTCTGTCTTATCAGGAGATAAGAGGTGGTCGTTTTAAAAAAGGGGAGGAACAGAGAAGAGAGGATCAAACGGCCTTTTTACACAGTGCAGAGGATTAACCCCTTAGGTTCTCCAGTGAGTATAACAAGCATGCCTTACTGCATATACGGCTGATTTTACTGTTATGGGTTTAGTAACACATTACCTGTCTGTTGACTAAAGAACCTTTAGTAAACACTTAATTGCTTTACTGCATTCTAGTGTCTTTGAAACCGCGGTTTCTTGTGCTTTATATCTGAACCTAGGGTGTCAGAGGTGTCGGGAGGCTTGCAAGGTCCTTTGTCGACCGTCATCTTACAGCGACCCTCGTGAGCGTAGCCCTCGTGGTTGGGATTCAAACCAATGACCCTACTCCTGCCAGCTGAAAGTGCTAACCATTTAGCCACTGTGTCAGAATAAAGAATGTTTGCAGCATAATGGTAGACAGTGCTGCTGCTGCTGCTGCACTTGAGATTTTGCAGAGTGTCATGAAAGTTTAAATATAGGTAATGCAATAAAGGATAATAGCTAACTGAAAGCAGTAGGCAATACAGTACATATTATGTGGGTGTGCTGACTCTTGTAGTCGCAAAAGAGCAGGTGATGTACTTCCTAAATATACATTAAAAAGGCAATTTTTTCAATAGTAGTTTTGCAGTATTACAAAATCAACAATTACACAGACATTGATTTTAATATGTCAATGACGCCAATAATTACTGAGTAAATGAATATTTTCATGTGTATATTTGGATGTAACTTACAGCTGACAAGAGAAATAATTCCCAATTATCTCACACCCTAATTAGTGCATTTGCAGATCCCAGGGCATTCATTTCAGCTGTGACTGATTTGTCATTGCTCTGTGGGACAAGACCATATGTGTTTAGCACGTCACATTGTAACATTTTTACTGTGATGCCAGCTCTGTAATTCAGGAAAGATATGTTTACTAGTCCATATGTAAATGTTAATATTGGTGATATCAATACACAGCAGCATCTCAAAAGAAATGGAAGAAAAGTAACAAATACTGAGCCCACGAGCACTGAAATTCAGCTCTGACCCTGCTCCCCTGTGTTTGTACCGCTGGGAGCATCATCTTCTAACCTAGATTTATACTTCTGCCCCTTAGGCCAACTGCCTTGTGCCGCACTGTGCCCTCATAGGTAATCACTGGTGCAATTAAAGCCCAGCTCTAGCCAAATGTCATGCATTCATTTAGATAGAATGGAGAAGGGTTGGAACCAGGGGCGCACTGACCATTTGGAAACTCGGTCAGTAGGGGGCCCCATGAGATGCCCCTGGTACCTTTTTCATAGGCATTTTTGAGTTTGGGCAAGGACACAGGGGCCCCATGATCCCCTATTGCCTGGGGGCCCCATGAGTTGCCAGTCTGCCCCTGGTTGGAACCTATGTCTACATATTGTGTTTACCAGTATCCCCATTTAGAGGACTTCTTGTCTTCCCCTGTCTATCCAAAAAAGCTGTGTCCTCATTGGATAGATTTCCACTTAAGAGCTGATTCACACATGCACGGTGCGGATTGAAGCTCAGGTTTCACAGCTAATTGATACAGTAGTTGTTCATCAGTTCATGTCAGGTTTACATCAGGTTCAGGTCAGGATTTTATCCTGTTCACACATATGCGTTTAGAAATGGTCCTAATAGAAGTCAATAGCCTTTGATCAATGCCTGAACCAGACTGCACTGCTCAGAAATCGAACATTACTCTTTTTAAAACCACACTGAATCCACACTGCCAGTGCACTGGACATACAGTGAAGAAAATAAGTATTTGATCCCCTGCTGATTTTGAATGTTTGCCCACTCACAAAGAAATGAACAATCTAAAAATTGAATGGTAGGTGTATTGTAACACTGAGAGACAGAATAGCAACAACAAATTCAAAAGAAATGCATGAATAACAAATTATGTACTGATTTGCATTAGGGGCTAAGGTGTTTCTTGCACATTAAGGGTTCATGTACACTGCAGCTGATCAACTCACATTCAGGAGTTTTTCTGTGTTTTTTTTAGCAGCCCCTGAACTCTCCCTAATTTTTTCCTATGTGTCCATGTACACTATGTCGTTTACAGTTGTTTACAGGCAGTTGAGTTTTTAACACACCAAACTTGCATTCAGGAGTAGATTTTATCAGCGTTTCAACGTTAAAAGGCTTGTAAATGCTTGTAAACGCGGCTAACCGCGTTTATAAGCGTTTGCGTTTAGAAGCATTTTTTTTAACTTTTCCATGTCCAGATTCTGTCCAGAGCATTTTTTCATCATCAGAAATGCATGCAAAGTGTTTTCCATGTATTCAAATGGACCTGTGCACCAGCGCAGTCAGTTCCAGGTTTTGCGTGAAGGAAAAAATGGTAGAACGTGCTGCATTATGCTCATGATGGGATCCATAGTGAATACAACCAGAAAAGACAGGTAATCTCAACACATACTGCTCTCTCTGCTTCTGCTCTCTATTTCTCTCAAAATGTCTGACATAGTTAATTTTTTACTGTTCTTCAGTGCATTCTGGTCTCCTGAGGTTATCTTTAAAAAACGCTTCTAAACTCAAATGCCCATAAAAACACATAAACACGTTATGCAAACGTGGCTAAACAGACTTTTTTTTAACCTACGTTTTCCAGCAGTCAGTTTGCATCATTCAGAAGTGTTTTCCAAACGTCCTGTGTACATGGAGCCAGCAGATATTTTTAACTTAGATTGTAAGCTCGTGGAGGGCAGGGGCTGATTAAAGTGGTAGTAAAACCACTATGTATATTTTAACCTACAGGTATGCTTATAATAAAGTAGGTAAAACGTGCATCGGTATACCCATGCCTGTCCTTCAGAGCACTGTGCCGTGTCCAGAGACTCCCGTGCGGAGTGACGTCATTGCAGCCCAGCCAGTCAGATAACCAGAGCTTGCAAACCCGGACGGAAGACTAGATGAAGATGGAAGCCTCTGGGTGGCTTCGTTTTAAGGTAAGTTTTACATAATGTGCTAGTATGCAATACCTTGCAGAGGATTTTTTTTTTAATGGACGCGGTTTACTACTGCTTTAAAGTACAGTATAGTGAATGTACAGTAAAAAGCGTTGCCTAATTGTTAGTACTATATAAATACCTATAATAATGCAATAAAATATATTTCTGTATTTGCTAGCGGGATAAAACATGGAAAATGTGTTGTATTACAGAGACATACTGCATACATACTGTATATATATATATAATATATATATATATATATATATTTATATATTTTATTTATTTATTTTTACTTTTCTTTGACATTCATTTTGATTGCTACTTGTTTAAATTTTCTCTGTTGTTGCACCCCCTCCCCCCTTCCTTCTTCATTCCCTGTATCAAAGAACCTCACTGTATGCCTTTTCTCCCAGTCCCTGGGAGGTTCTGTCACTTTCACCCCTGCACTGATGCCTGAAGAGAAACTGATGTCTAATATGTGATCCACTGAACTAGTGGTTCATTGACACTTTTCCCACACTGCTTTAGCTAGCACAGCAGAATGTGTAGTAAGTTAATGTAACAGGTTAAATCTAATATGTGTCACCATGATCAAATAACTTCTTGTGGACCTAGGAGCTGAGAACAAAAAAATGGTCAGAATATCAAAAGGTTCTTGGCTGTTCGAAAACTAAGGAGTCAAACAACAGCTTGAACTGTTTAGGGAGGGAAACTTTGGAGGGACAATTGCAATAGCCTGAATCTCCAAGTCTTTGAGCTCTTGTAGAAACATGTACTTCAGGTACCATCTGTAAATTGCAAGTCAGCAAAATTGCTTGAGCACCTAAATCAAAGTGATTACAGGCAAGGGGCATAACAAATCAACAGGGACTTGGGTAAAAGCAATCAAAGTAACAGACTAGATGACTAAACTTGTACCCTTCGTCTGCTATGGTGTTCAAAGTTATGCTTCCAAGAATGTTTTGCAGGGACACCACTCCCTTAAATGGCAAAACTCAATATCACAGTTGGTGTCTATATTAATCTCTTTGGAGTATCAGCTGAGATTCAAGTATTCCCTTGTTCACTCTTGTGTCAAATCTTGAATGGAAGCTAACCGAAGTGGTCTGACACCTGTATGGTTCTTTCTCCTGGGGGCCTCTGAATTTCGTCTGCGACTTCTGTAAGCTTTCCATCTTAGGTGGACTTAGGCAAACACACTCATAGCATTTCCAATGCTTTCGAGGCAGCCCTTCTTCTGTTCTTCTGATCTCAGGGACATCTTATTAGTTCAACTCGTCCGCATTCATTGTACTATCCATGCTCCATATTCATTCCTACTAGGCTTCTTCTCTGGCAGAGTCTGAGTTTCTGAGATAGTCCTCATCTCCCAGCAGCCAGTCCCAGAGTAAGAAGGGATAGTCTTGTGATACTTTGCCACAAGGTCTCTTAAAACTGTGATAAATGTAAGCCCTATCATGGCCATAGATGTTGGCACAGGGGTTCCCTTTGTTGGTGCTTTCTGACTCAAACTCTTTGGGTTGCTTGATAATGGGCACTCTAGGATTGGCGGAACTTCTGTGTCACCAGCCTGTTCTTCACACCACAAGTGATAGGGCCCATTTTACTGGCTTGGCTTGTTGGCAATCTTTGGTAATCTTTCTACAAAAGCAAGAGGTCCCGTCTAAGCTACTGGCCAATGGGGTATACAAGTATGCATCATTGGGGCCCTTGGATTACTGTAAGAGTGCTCACTTCCAACTGAGAATATATTTATAATCTAAAGAAAAATTAGATTATTTTTTTATTATTAGAATAAAGAAAACAATCTCCTTTCAGCATAACTCCTTTGTAGGCAGCAATAATTGCAGAATAAATACTTCAAGGTACTTTCTCCACCTCTCCACCTCAAGATCATGAAGCATTCACTGTAACAGTAAACAGTAACAAATCTTGAACAGTAATGACTCAGGAACAGTAGCAACTCTGGAACTCTTTTCAAAGTAACAGTGTTCAGCATGTGGCTCTAAACACTATCCAGCAGCATGTGGTCCTAGGGCTCTAAGCACACCCAGTCCCCAAGCAGGGTACAGCAGTACAGAAGTTCTCTCTACCCACTCCCCTTCTGGGCTCTTCACCCAATTACTCATATCACCTCAAGCCACACACAAGCTCCAGAAGCACCAGCCCTTGTCTTTCAGGATCATGAGCCAGCCAGTGACTTCCAGCAGATCTCCATTCCCCTCAGTGGGTGACCTCAAACGTGACTGTAGCAGTAGCCAATGTAAAGTCTTCTACCTTCTTTGCTAGGGGCAGGTAAAGTTCCTTGGCTGAGACAGCAGATAATCCCAGTTCTCTGCTGTGGTCTCCTAACCCTCTGCTTCAGGCAGGGAGAAAACAATGAACTGACAGTTGACTTAAAGTTGCTGCCAGCTGGTGCTACACACATGAAGTAATGTGGGTGGTCAGAATCTGAGCACTTACAAACATCTGTACATTATGGAGCATCCAGGTACTCTCAATCACATGGTAATTTACACTAACTTAATTTCTTGAATGTAACCATGCGTTTATAAAATATCGATTACATTAGTTAATATAACAGATGAAGAAAAGTGATGAATGTTCATGGTCACAATATCTTTTTTTTTTTCAATTTATTCTATCCACAGTGGTAGGATATAATTAGCTTGTCTATTACTAGTAGATCAGCACATGTGAGGAGGCAATGTGTGGGAACATGTGTACTGTTTCCCTAACCACTGCCGCTGTGCAATAGAAAGAAATGATGAACAGTACAAGGACAGCAACTAAAGACTGTTGGTCCTTACAGATGTTTTCAGCTTTTAGATGTTAATTACAATCATAACTGCACATAGTTATGGATAATGCCACATAATTACATGGCAAGTTTGTTGTTGTGGAAGCAATAAGTATTTCATAAGGACTGTGGGAAGCAAATGTCAATGTTTAAATGTGACATACTGACATAATTTGTTTTGCACAGCAGTAGATAATCATTTTGTACATTTGTAAAGCAGAAAGTTCTATAAAAGCATTACAGGCTTTATTATGCCCTACATATGCTGAATCTCCATCTCTGCATGCTATGAATTATCTAAAGTTTCAGGTACAATGATATACTGTACGCCATGAAAATCTGCAGTCATCTAGAGTTCTGCTTGCCCTGCCAACATCCTAAAGGGGCAACTTTGTCTCTGATGTGGGGCATTTACAAGGAATTTGGTGTATTGCTGCCACTATTAAATATTGTCTTAGGAATATGGCTATTATTGCTTTTTTGTATCTATCTTTAACCACTTCAATACTGACATTTTCACACACCCCCTCCCTTCCTATCCAGGCCAAGTTTTAGTTTTCAGCACTGTCACACTTTGAAAGACAATTACTCACTCATGCAACACTGTACCTAAATTACATTTTATCATCTTTTCACACAGATAGA